CCCCGCAGTAAATGCAAGAGCTTTTGGTATGCGTGAGGTTCTAGACTGCTTTTGCAAAAAACACTCAGTATGTCAGTATTCTGAAGAGTGTAAAATAATTGCAGCTTGTACATTTATTTAAAAAGTTAGTTTGTGAAAAGCGTATCTAGGTTTTTTTTAAGCCAACACTGGCTCTTCACGTTTCGGTTCTCAGCTGGAGGAACCAGACTGGCGGTTAATTTTCTAGTCCAGGCTGTGACTTCCTACTCTGTACAACTAAAGGCCCTCACCATGGTGGGATTTGGTATCTCTTCTAAACCTAGGCGGTCTGGGGACCCATCTGGGGTTGTTTCTGCCCTCGTGTCTTTAACAGTGACAGTGAGGACGCTGGCTTCCTTGTGCGTGGCAGGGACTCCCTCCCGTGGACCTTTTATCTCTGGAAAAGTAAAGGAGAACACAGTCCCACGTGGGAAGAGAGGACACGTGTGTTTCAAAGGTCATGCGTATCAAGGCAAGGGTGGCGAACGTCTCATGACGTGTTTGTTTGGCTGCAGTGGCTGCTGAGCACCTGGTGAGAAACGTTGAGTTCCACGATCGGTGATCGACGGGGCCTCCCTCGTGCGGCACCTGCCACGGGCTTGACGTGAGTGGGCACAGTGGTACCTGCGGTCTGCTCTTGCCTTCCCTTTGGCAGGGTCCACATTTACCTGATTTGTTTATTGGGCTTTTGTGTTGTGATGATATACATGTAACAGTTTGTTAACCACAGGTGTGGAGTTCATTGGCGTTAAGCACATTCACATTGTTCTGGAACCATCACCGCTGTCTGTATCCAGAACTTTTTCATCCCCTCAGACTGAAATTCTGTACCCATTAAACAATATGCCCCATTCGCTCCTCCCCCGTCTCTGTGGATTTGGCTGGTCGGGGTGCCCGGTGTGAGAGGCACACAGAACCTGTTCTTTTGCGTCTGACGCATTTCGCTTGCTGTAATGTCGTGCTTCCAAGGCTTGTGCGTGTTGTAGCATGTGTGAGAACTTCTTTTTAACGGCAGTGTGCTATCCCACCGGCTGTTTCTGTGTGTCATGTGGCCCCTCCTCTGCCAGTGGACGCCGGGTGTTTCCTGTTGTTCGCCGGCGGCGAATGATGCTGCTGTGGACGTGGGTGTGCCGATATCTGTTTGAGTCTCTGCTTTTAAAACGTATTTATTTATCATGAGAGTGAGACAGCAGGAGCGAGCCGGGGTGGGGGCAGAGAGAGAGAGAATCCCAAGCAGGCTCTGCCCCGTCAGCGTGTGACCCGTGAGGTCAGGAGCTGAAACCAAGAGTTGGACACTTAAGCGACGGAGCCACCCAGGTACCTCTGAGTCTCTGCCTTTAATCTTTGGGGTAGGTACCCAAAAGTGTCGTTGCTGGGTCATACAATAATTGCCTTTTAAATTTTTGGAGGCACTCCTGTACACAATCTGTAATTTCCTTTAACACTCCCACCAGCAATGCACAAGGGCTCCCAATTTCTCTACATCTTCGTTAGTAATGGTTATTTTGTTACTATTTTTTTAAAATGATAGCCAACCTAATCCGTGTGAAATGGTGTCGTTTTGTGCTTTCGGTTTGCTTTTCCCTAATGGTGAGTGATGTTGAGCGTCTTTAACGTGCTTCCCTCAGTGTGTGTTCTTTAGAGATGTGTCTGTTCAAGTCCTTTGCCCGTTTTTGAACTTTGATGTGTGTGTGTGAACGTGTATAAACTTTGCGCGTTCTGGATGCCAGTCCCGGGTCAGGCAGGTGGTCTGCAGGTGTCCCCCGCTCTGCGAGTGCCCTTTGACGCATAGGCTTTCGTTTTGATGGGGTCTGATTATCTTTTCCCCTTCTTTGGCACTTCTGTAGAGCGCTGTCAGTGGAAGACTCTGTCCTGTCCCCAGCGAGCAGTCTTGGTCCCCTTGGCGAAAATCCTGTGGCCATTTGTACGAGGGTTTACTTCTGGCTTTTATTCCAGTCCATTGGCCTGTGTGTCTTTTTATACCACCACTACACTGGTTGGAGACTCACAGCTCTGTAGGAGGTTCTGAACTTAGAAAACACGAGTCTTGAGGTTTTCACCTTTGTTCTTTTTCTGGATTGTTTTGGCTACTTTGGAGTCCCTTGAGACTCCTTACGAATGTTAGGAAGGGTATATCTTCTTTTGTAAAAAGTGTTTTCAAAATTTTGATAAGGATTTTATTGAATCTGTAGATCTCTTTGGGTGGATTTTATATAATTTGAACAAAAAATTCAGTTGTTTCAAGGCCTCTTTTAAAAAAATTTTTTTGGGGCGCCTGGGTGGCACAGTCGGTTAAGCGTCCGACTTCAGCCAGGTCACGATCTCGCGGTCCGTGAGTTCGAGCCCCGGGTCAGGCTCTGGGCTGACGGCTCGGAGCCTGGAGCCTGTTTCCGATTCTGTGTCTCCCTCTCTCTCTGCCCCTCCCCCGTTCATGCTCTGTCTCTCTCTGTCTCAAAAATAAATAACAAACGTTGAAAAAAAAATTAAAAAAAAATTTTTTTTTCCGGTTATTTCAAGTGTTTGTCCTTTTTACTTTTATGCTGTATGTCTG